TTAATCTGTAAAATTATTTATAATTTTTTACTGCTATTTGTCAATACTTTTTCATTAATTTTCCATAAACATGTTGTTTTACGTGTTTTTCATGCAGCAATCAACGTTTATACGTTGCTTACTATTTTTTTTAACTAGTTAAAATCGCATGTCTAATATATATTATGATTATTCAACATTTAAGGTTAAATGATCAAGTTTTTTTTTCAAGCAAAAAAATTTGAAACTACTTGTTTGAATATTATTATAAAATTACACTTACTTGAAACGAAATTTTTTTGATTATATTATACTATTTTATGTTTCTCTTGATGCCTTTTTTATACTGCAAGATGAACTTTGCACTTGTTCACTAATTTTGACTTTTTAATCATTGTTTTTACGCATTACAAGGTTTAGTTTGGTAATGCGATAAAATTAATATTATAAAAATGCGATAGCCTACAGATTCGAAGTTACTACTAGTTAGCTAATGGTAATAATTAATAAATATATTTATGTATACTCGTTTACCGTAATAAAACGCTCATTAATTAAACTACGCGTGTATTTGTCTATATATATGTACAATACACACATATTTGCATATTTTACACAGCACGGCTGCAATGCATGCTCGTGATATTTTTGCGTTTAATTTTAGTAATCAATTCTTGATGTTACTAATCAGGTTTGGTTCATGCACGTGTACATACTATTATCAACTCGACATTTTGTTTGTTTGTAAGGTATACGCGCAATTCCATTTGGGAAGAAAAAAAACACATTTTATGTAAGCATATTGTGGCTAGAACACTTAGACGATTAATTGGAAACGAAATAATATATTTGAAGAAAAAGACTTTGAAACGCTCATTTTTTGATAAATATTATTGTTAAACTAGAATTAAAAAAAAAAAGATTCCACTTTTTATACATCACAAACTAGTGAAATATTTTCATGATGTACCGATTATTGGAAAATAAAATCTTTTTTTTTTTTTTGTTAAGCAATTTTAATAAATCCGTCTAATCAAACTGTTATTTACACTATATGTTGATGATAATATTTTTAAAGTCTCCGATCGTTGTCGATTTGTAAGTAAAATAAATTATGCATACTTAACTAGAATAAATTGTGTTAAATTAATTTGAACAATGTATAAATAACTCGAAAAATATTCAAAATCAATCAACAATGTGCGAACGATGTACAGGTTTTATATGTATATATGGCACGAAACAAATTGTAAAAGCGTATTCGGGAAATGCACCTTCAATGGTGCGTTGGCATCATTTTTTTTTGTTGCTCATTCTTTATTTGGCATACTTGGTTAACTTCCCCAAACTGACTCGCTCGGGATTATATATTTATATTTTACGTATTGTCTCTATAACACATGTATACTGTTTTTCTTAGTATAGTTGAAAAAAAAAAATCTATAGGCAACAAAAACCCTGCAATTGAATTACCATGGTGTACATCTACAATGAAACAAAACAAAAAACAGCTGTATTTTTATAATACGAAAAATCGTCCCTTTTTTTCTTCTCTAAAACAATGACTCGCCGATTTCTCACAAGTGGAAACCGCCTCTCTTCTCCAACACCCAATACAAAGTTCCGCAGCAACAAAACGCGCGCGCTTGACACGCTCCTATTTGTAGGTAATAATATATATGTGTATATATATATATATATATTTTGCTCGAGTTATCTCTCGCTCGACACTTATAATTTTTTTTCCCGCAGCTGTAGTTCTCGGATTTAGTTTACAGCTCCGTGGGGGCATCGTCTCATATCGACGTTGCGTGGTTGTTGTCGCCTCCTCCGCCGTTCTGGCTCTGGCTCTGGCCGGTGTGATGCGGAAGCGCCGCGAGCTCGTTTCTACTGAGGTGGTTGACGATACCGGCGCCCAACGAGTCGCCCACTACGTTGACAGTCGTTCTGCACCGGTCCCTGGAGAAATCGGAGCAACAATGTCGTATTTGTTCATAAATCATTACATTTAATATTCGTTTGGACAACAACAGGAAGTTTGGTAGGTCACAAAAAACTCTCATTGGTCAATCGACGCTGATTTCAACGCTGAATCAGCTCAGAAATCAACATGGAAATCAGTCATAAATACATCGTTGATTCGGTATTGAATCATCTGTGACTCATCGTTGATGCAGCGTTAATTTAGGATATAATTAATTTTATCTTTAATTTTGATATATTTGAATGCAATTTGATACCATATCGAACCCTCGTTATCTTGATTTAAATCGAAACTGAATCAACGGAAGTCTTGCGTCAAATTACAGTGAAATCATTATTGATTGAATGGAAAATAAATATTTTTCATACGCATTACCGCACAAATGAAAAGTTTTAAAATATGTTGTAGGTTTAACGTATATGATTTGAACATTAATTATATTGTAATAATTTTTAAGAAAAATTATGGCAGGCTTAACGAAGAATCAGTGTTAATTCAATACTAAATCAACGTTGAATCAACGATGTACTTCACGATTGATTTCAGGGTCCATATATTTACTGATTCAGCATTGAATCAGCGTTTATCTGACGTTGATTCAACATTGAGATTTTTAATAGGGATAGGACAACTTCATATCTTAGGCAATCAGTTATTTTTTTAGCAGTTCAATAAAGTATGCACGTGAACATTCTCAAAAAGCGAAAGAAAATAAACTCACAGCAGCCAATCGATGGCAAGGATCAAAGAAATATCCCCAGATGGAAGTCCAACGGTGTCCAGCACCATGACCATCGTGACCAGGCCGGCTTGAGGGATACCGGCAGCACCGATACTCGCCGCGGTTGCGGTAATACTACAAATGGACCAATAAGTAGCGCAATTCATCGTTGCTTTCATTAAAAAAAAAAAAAAAAAAAATTGGTTCAGCGAACCCACAATGGCTCACCTGATGGCAACCAATTGTCCGAAGCTGAGGACCGTGTGGCGAACTTGGGCTATGAAGATGGCCGCGACAGCCTCGTAGAGGGCAGTGCCGTCCATATTGATCGTGGCTCCGATGGGCATGACGAAACGCGTGACGCGCGGATCCACGCCGTTCCGATCCTCGAGACAAGCTATGGCCACGGGCAGGGTTGCCGAGCTCGAGGAGGTGCCAAAAGCCGTGGCCATTGCCTGGGCCATGTTGGAGATGTAAGTGAAGGGATTCTTGCGCGTGAATATGAAGTATATCGAGGGTAGGACCAGAAAACCGTGGATGCACAGGCCTATTATCACGGTCATAAAGTACATGCCCAGTTGCTGGACCACGTCGCCCAGGGAGTCCATTTCGACGATCTTGGAGGCCACCAGGAACATGACACCAATCGGCGACAACCTGAAAGTTGATAATCAACCAATTATTTGTTGGTATGGTTGTAAGGGTTGATCTTTTGGCTTAGTCGAACTTACCAAACGACCCAGTTAGTGATGATCATCATGGCAGTAGACAGGGCCTCGAAGAAACTGAGCAGTGGTTTTCCGTTGCCTCCCATTTTACCGAGGGTTATTCCCAATACGGTGGAAAAGACAACGAGACCGAGGATGTTGGTACCCGATTCCGTCGACGGCACGATTTTCCAGGTGTACTTGTCGTCTGGACGTACGAGCAATGGTACATTATCATTATTATCATACACAGATCATAGTGGTGATGACGATCTTACCGTAATTACTGCCGGGTCCCATCACGATCTTGGTTTGGTGTTGGGCGATGCAAGCCTCGACGAGGTTGGGAGGGAACATGTTTCTCACGAGATCCATGAGAGTGTCGACCGTGGTGACGTTTCTGGGCGCCCGGTCGCTCGAAGATCCACGATCCTGTTTGGTTCCCGGCTGAATGGTCACCACCAGTATGATACCTTGTTTTGAGGTGACATCGAGCAAACAAAAAATAAAGTTCGTCACAAGGATACGAGGTTTCTACAGTGGAAATGTGTATTTGCAAGAGATTCAATGGCTCCTCAGAGTCGCTTGAAGAGGGAGTTATGGGTTTCGAGTCTTCTAGTAAAACATTGGGATTATTTTTTTCGAGTTTTTTTCCGATGGAATTAGTCACCGGAATTCCAAAAAAACCTATTATTTTGTTTTAAGACGAATAGTGAATTTCTTGGGATGATATTTCGACCTTCAGAGGCTTCCTTTCCGGGGGAGACCAATACCTCGCCAGTTCAATTAGATAGGGTCTCTCACGAATTACTTGCATCCCAATCGAACATTAAATTTGTTAATAATTAATGATAAGTGATAACAACTGATCAGAAGAAATATTTAATAAAAAAATTTTTTTCCCTTATAAGTCACTTATCAGACGAGACAAAAAGAATTGATGACAACTATTTTATTAATTGTAAATTGTTATTAATATATTTGAAAATTTTTTAGTTACTGATAAAAGTACCTAAAAACTATCAATCATTGTTAATAAAAATTACTTGTTGTCGTGATTTAACGAGGGAGTAAAACTAAATTTTTCGATTGAATTGAAAAAAAAAAAAAAAAGATAATA